ATCTCTCAAGTCGATATGAGATGAAATCAAAAACAAAAATGACATGCTATTTGAAAATCGCATTTAATATATACATACATATTGAGCCAATTTTAAACAAAAACTAATAGTTTGTGTGGTGATTTTTTTCTTTTTATATTAAAACTATAGTTGCAAGTGGAACAGAAAAGTAGAGATATATGAAATATACTCACGCAAAGTAGAAACAGAAATGTGTGATAGTCGATAATTATTCTGACATTTTAATGGACATCGTGATAAAAAAAAAATAATTACTTAGTGAACATTTTGAGGAGATTCAAATGATGCATTCGATAAGAAAACGTATTGTGAACGTCACTCACATCGACACACACAAAAATTGAGTTTTATAGTTCCGACATTTCCGAGCTGATGAAATTTAATTATACAACATGCCTTCAGCATAAACATAACATTTCAAACAACAACAAAAATATGTTCCAATTATCCACAAAATTGCTTTCAAATAAAAAAGGCACAAGGAATCTAGTCTATTCATTTTGTTTGTTTCCTTCTGCTTTGAACATTGTTTATGTCGCGACTCGCATGACATGAAAACTCAATTATGTATAATGGTTTGCATTTGATTTTTCTTTGCATCACAACACATCATCAGCTCCCCAAAGTGAAAAAAAGTATAAGAGACATTTTGAAAATCATATCTAATTAATGTTGTAACAAAATAAGTAAAAAAAAAATTCTTAAAACTATGCCTGAATGACGAGTATTTAAAAAAAAAAACATTGTGAACTTTATTCTAATTCAAAGTATTAAAAAAAACTATTTCATAAATTATTCAGACATTTTTCGCCTGGACTTAAATTAGCAAATATTATATGTTGGTCTTGCAGACAAGTATAATAACAAGTTCATATTTCAATTGAGCTTTTTTAAAACAATCGAAATTCATTGAAGATTCTTCGTCAAGCTCGACTTGAAATTGGGTTTGAAAACGAATTTTCAATGAGTTCTTGTTATTTGAAAGAGGCCATAAACAGCGCACGTCGTCAAATGCACAAAATTGATTATTACTTCAGCAATTGAATGCATTTGCACGACGATATAGAGGTTTGCAATTGACACATGCAACACGATTTTTCATCGATCACCGCCATAAGTCGGCTCGTTGATGAACGTAAGTATTGAGCAATCTGTCAAACGATCTCGACTATAGAAATACTCAAAAATCCTAATTTACTAAAAAAAAATCTATAAAGAATACATACCGAAACAATCTCTGTGTCTCAAGAACTATGTGAAACATAAAAATTACCACAAATAATTAACAAAAAAAAAATCGTTATGTGACGTCAAAAAATTCAAAAGATCTATTTAAAATTTATATTTAATTATTATATAAGATCATGACAAATTATATTTAAATAAAATAACAAGAAAAAAAAAATTAGATGAAAAACATGCAATCTTTTAGTGGAGTTTAGTGTTAGCAAGTGACAACTAAATAAGATTCAAAAACAAATTCGATATAATCAATTAATAGCATTTGTAAAGTAAGAAGCACAAAAATCTCCATTTTGAAACAATAAACAAATTAATTAGTAAATCAGATATTTTTTAAATTTGGTTCTTTCTCATTGTTTTTATTTTTTAATTTTGGATTCGACCAATTCGAGTCCGATTAATAACCAAATTGCATTTGATAAACGTCAATTACATTCAAACGTTGACATTTGTGAAATACGTGATTCCGTTTCTTCACTTCGCATTAGTTTTTACTTTTGTTAGTTTTTGTCAAGAGAAGCTTATTTCATATTTTTACAATGTTCATAAGTTCCAAACGCAAGTAGAATTGTACGTTGTGCATTTAAGTAGTATAAAGAGATTGCAAAATGATTCGTGATTTTTTTTTTAACTTTAAATTTATCTTATAATTTCCATTTGAACAACAACTATATAAAAACGATGACCGTTAGAAGATGTTCTATAGTTTATTTGGGTGAAAATTAATAAGTGAAAATAAGTTGTATTTGTTTCGCTTATAAGCCGCCAATGGCAAAAGCTAAGTCTGATCAATGATCACCCCACATCATTTTCCCGCCTCCAAAAAGCATCCAATTCATTTCTATTTGCGTTAAGTTTGGTTCATGTATATATTGATTTTCTAGTTGATTTTCAGTTTTATGTTATGGAATAATTAGAGTTTTCATTTATCAGTTTCGTAGATAGTTTTGATTGTCTGTTAAATCGATTGAAATCGCTTAGCGAACCGATTCGTACATAAAAAAAATACACAAATATTGAACATATACTTTGAGCACCGTGTAGATTTTTCAATAATATCAACAAAAAAACAACAACTACAAATACCAATAACAACTAATTAACAAAACTCTATATATACATACATGTAAAAACAAACAACCAACAAACCTGCTAGTTAATCTATTCGACAAAAAAAAAATACAAAGAGACAAATAAAAAAAAAACATTCAAACATTTATCATATAAATAATGTTATATGGTCATCATCATGTTTGTGAGTACAACTAATCCAGCATTTGCTTTATGTTATTACGCTAAATAAAAATAAAGAAAAAAGTCCTGTCAACATTTTTTTTAAATTTGTTTCCATACTAATGGCATATCACAATGTAGTCGCCTTGCTTTTGGCAGAATACCAACTTTTCTTTTATCTTCAAATGACCGTTCCGAATATATTCGCAGAATATTCACGTGACTTGGTTCAATATTTCAGTGAAAAATCAATACATACATTTGTGTATTTTACATTTCATCTCGAATATTTTACAAATTTACCATCACATTTTGGCGAATATTTTCAGAGAAAATTTGCAAATTATTTGCAAAATTCATTGGTGATGTGAATCCGTGCATCCATGATACAACTTTGAACGAAAATGACTTGAGAAATCACCAAAAACCACCTGCTTTCGCTTATGGAAATTCTTGTATGAGAGAACAGGAGATAAAATCTCTCAAGTCATGTCAATTTTCAGCTTTACATGTATGTCGTTGCCACACATTAAGTAAAAGAAGAATGAAACTACAATTGAAAAAGCTTGACGATTACATTTGATTGCACATTTTTCTTTTTATCGTTTAAATTTTCCTAACTGATATACACACACATATATAATATGAATATATATATTATAACCATATATTTGTTTTCTTTCATTAAATTATTTTGGTTTGTTCGGTAAATTGAGGTGCGGTGTTTGAAATAAAAATTATCGAAATGAAAAAGACAACGTTTAATATGAAGAAAAATGAAACGAAATTATCAATAGCAAATGCAATGCAAATGAACAAAGAGAAGGAACAAAAAAACAAAAACAAAAAAAAGTAATACAATGATCAATTATAGGATTTATTATAAATATAATCATTTTTATTATTGTTATGATTTGAACACTGATGAATGAAGTGGAATATTGCTGATAACAGCGGCAAACGTAACTTTATGCCCGTTCAAAATCAATGCTGGATTATTTCAAATCACATCTTACACAAACAAAAAAATAAATAAATAAAATTCAGGACTAATACTCCTATATCGCCTCTTTGGGAAACATAAAACTACGTCAGTCGCTTTTGTCCGACCGATCCCTTCATTTCGTCCGATTCAATGCAGAAAGATATATTAAAATTACTTAACATAAATTATATATTTGAAACAATAAATTTAATTGGAATACAAAAAGCGTTTCGTTTTTACTTTTGAACATTTTCTTTCCCTTTGATATATTTAACGTCAACAGATGGTGTATTTAGTCATAACGGTTTTCTTCTTCTTTCTTATTTAAATCATTTCTTTTTTTCTATTTCCCCGAAGATCATCGATGCTCTTACCTACTTTATAATTCTGTTTTCAGTGGAACCGTTAACAGTTCTGGCTGTAGTGCAACATTCTATCCAACGCATCAATTCCATCACATACCGAATGAAAGTAGATCAATTATGCAAGTTTTGTATGCAGAGATATCAATGTATGAATTGACCAGCGAAAGATAAATTACATGCACATGCGCACAAGGTAAAAGATATAAATTGAGGTGCTCAATTTTAGCATCGAATCATGCATTGCAGAATCGAAACAACTGTTAAAATAGCCGGTTTGTTAATCAGTGTAGAGTGTACGAGCAAATATTAACGTGTTATTTCATTGAATGTGTCTCCTTTTTTTCTTGTTGTCATTTAAACCAAAAAAAGTCAATCGATTTGGTTGAAATCAACAAGATCAAAGCATAAGCGGCTGCAACATCATTTGAATTTACAACAAGTGTTCGGTATATATTGCAATAACTTGACGAATGTTAGTAAAACCGACCTTCTGTAGATCTAGCAACTAGATGATGCTAATTATGAAATGGACCACTTTGTCGTTGATCTGAAACGATGTATGTAGTGTGTTTGTATCGTGGTGCCCTCCCACTATGTTTCCACAATCGCGCACACGGTACCCGAAAACCAAAACAAACACAATAGGCCGTAATGAATAAATAATGAGATTAAAATAATGGGCAGGTATATATCTGCCCGTAAACGTTAAAAAAAATTGTATTGTGTTTTGTGAGATTGAGAGAGAGAGAGAGAGAGAGAGAGAGAGAGTGCGGACGCGCATAAAATCGCATTTGATTCACACTGAGACGGTTCACATCAAAAAATCCAACAACGTTGCGCGCTACATGCTACTTGCAACCGTAACATACGCGCTTCGGCATTTCAGTTTAGTTTGAGTGTTTCAACGTATAACACACACGCTGTTGATCGGCGCTTTATTCTGATTTCTTTCATTCCACACCGTTCCGTTTCCTTTCAATCGGTTGTGGTAAACAACTTGAATGAAAGAATTTCTGCCATTTCATTATTCGACTTATTGTATTTCTTTTCTATTCGTATTATTTCTCAAATTACACTTGCTCAGTACTCCAGAGTACATACATTTTATTTTGCTAGAAAGGTAGAAGATTTTGTTGTGTGTGTGTGTGTGTGTGTGTGTGTTTGTTATTTTTTCATTTTGTGCATTTCATTTCGATTTTTCAAGTGATCATGTGTTCGTGTCAATGATTTTTGTTACTTGATCGTATAACAAATAAGCAAACAAATTACCTGCTTTTTATTTCGTCAGGTGCATCTGATCATCAACGCCGTAATCCAAATCACTTAATATATACGAAAAAAAAATGCAAATAAAGTGTATTTCGTGCTGAGAAAAAACGTAGCTTTTGTTGTTGACCTGATTATAGAGAAGAGAATAAGAGACAAGTGTGGCCGTGTTACGTTTATTTCGTTCTTTTTTTTTCTCATTTGTTTGCAGTTTTGCATTTGTATATGTGTATGTGTCTGTGTATTAAAACATACAGATATTTCTTTATTATCCATCGGTGTGCACGCATATATGCCTGCGCTCATTTGCGGAACTACGGTAATTGTTTATGAAAAGCAAAGTTCTTTTAACTGCGCAAACGACTACATCAACTTTATTCATTGAAATTGCAAACATATTCCATTATTTTTCAAATGAAATTTAACGAAATGATGAGAAAATCATAACACAAAAAAAAAATAACGAAAGACGATTTGCATTGACATCTCATCTGTAGCTCTTTCACCGATTCGCTTTGACGTTGTTGTTCTTTCGTCAAACTGCAATAATAGTGGAATATATATAAAAGACAAAAGAAGATATCAAAGAAACAGAAGAGAAAAAATTTGTTATAAAGTGTACAAAGACGATCTTGTGTGTGAATCGAAGCGTATGCATGTGCCTGCGTATATATCGAATAAGCTGAGATCGTGGCTTACAGATAAGCAACAAATTGAAGACAGCTGCTAACTGTGCTGTTTAACGTAATGAAATAATGTTGTGATATCGCGATATTATTCAAGCAAAAGTGGAGAACAAAATCTGTAAAAGTAACGTGATTCAAAGTCGGGGCCTTCTAGTGTGAGCATGTATTTGTGTTACTTCATCGATCGAAATATAAAGACTCCAAAGTGCTAAAATTTGCGATATATTCGAAAATAGTGAGTTAATATCGATGATTGTACTGAAAATTAGAAATCAAAAAAGTTAAAAACGTTTCAGCAGAAAAAAAGTTTGAAGGTAGAAGTGAAGTAACGAGAAACGGTTTTTCTTATTTGGTTGCCGTTGTGATTTTTTTTTGTGTTTGCCGTCGACGTGTGACGGATCGCTTGATTTTAATATTGCTCGAAAGAACAAATTGCTTTGTTCGCGTGGTGAATCGCTGAAAATAACAAATTTTCGTTGTTGTTTTTTTCTTCTCAAATACATACACAAATAACAATTGAAGAACATCCAAAATGCCATTTTTTACGAAAAAATCACCAACACCAACACCGTTCGACAATAATAATCACAAAAGTTCAACAACCACAAATAATCCCAATATTCTATCAACAGCATCACAATTACCAATGGCACAGCACATCATTGAGAAAAAAGTGCCATCGCCACAAATTGATGCAAATATATTGAAACCTCAGCTCATATTTCATTGTCAACTGGCCCATGGATCACCAACTGGTTTGATTTCAGGCTTTGGCAGCGTTAAAGAGCTCTACCAAAAAATCGCCGAATGCTATGACTTTTCCGTGGATGAGGTAAGTGCTTCAACATCACCAAAGTGTTTCTTTTTGAAAAAATAATTCACGCAACGAAAGTAGATACGAAGCAATACGGAGAAAGTTAATTTCGCCTATTTTCAACATTGTTAATGAATGACGGTTGACGTAAAATTACAAAAACAAAACACAAAAAAAAAATATATTTTTTTTTTTTTTGTTGAATACACAATGTTGTGATCGATTTCATTATTCCACATCACTTTCGATATCACTGATTATAATTGACTACATTGATTCACATATAAAATCATGTTGACGAGATAGTAAATAAGAAATCAAAATATTTATCTCGAACCAAAAACAATTCATTGAAAATTGTCATTTTTGCGCAAAAGAGCGATTGCGTATGTATTTATTTAATTATAGATTTCATATATGTTATACTGTTATCATTGTTATCAACGAGAGGAAAATAGATAATCAAAGCAAGTAAAGCAGAAGAAAAAACAAATAAATACACTTGAACCAGTGATATGAAATGCCATAGTTGTCAACACAAAACCTAAAATGCTTGAGACTTGTTGTTTTATCATATTTCAAATTAATTTTTGGGTAATTTTCCATACATGGCTATTTTCTTCTATTTGTACAAGCACCGTTGAATTTCAATTTTAACATGAAAATATAAAATTTACTAAATGAAGGATGGACATTCAATGGGTTCACTATATCACTACATCGATTGAATAGAACCAATGTATTATCAAGCGAAGTGTAAATTTGTTCCGTGATCGATAGTTATTGTTGAAAAATCCATTGAAGCATGCAAAATTCAATGGAATGATTAAATTGTGGAAAATGGCTTTCAACATCGGTTCATGCATCGAATCCAGGTCTTCGAACAGTACCGATTTGTGTATGTCTCTGTGAGCGTGCTAAAAATGAATTACGCTTAGTATACTTTATTATTGGCACACACCAAAAGCCATTTACATAAAATGATGTGTATTTGCGTATGCCGTGCTGCTGTTCTACTTCGATTCAAGATAGATATAAAAAATAGAAAAAAAAAACAAAATGAACAGAGTTTTCAAGATTGTATGTGAAGTTCGGTTCGTTTATATTTCTTATTATCTTTTCTTTTTCATTCGTTAATTTTCTAATTCTTGAATAAGTAGTTAAGTAAACAATCAAAAAAAGATTTGTTGTTGATACAATAAACCAATTGCATCCACCAATTGCCTGTTGATTTGTTCTCACACATACACAATCTCCCTCTCTCTCTCGCTCTGTGTGTGTGTTTCTGTCTGTCTGATGCACTGTTCGTCTATATTTTAATTTAGTACGTTTCCCGCTGCTTTATTTAAATTTAAAATGCATTAAATTATTCACTACGTTTCTGGTTTTCACGCAATCCAACACGTATCAAATTGTCTATTATTATACAAATCTATTTAGCAAATAATAAATTTTACGTGCATTTGCATCGTGTGATGAGTCTGCACAGCAAAGCATTAAAAGAAATGGCATACATTTGCATTTATTAAGAAAATGGTTTTATTCGAGAGCACATTTATTCTTGGTGATGATGATGGTGGTTTTTATTGTTGTTGCTGCCATACATCAGCTTAAGATTTATCTACCGTCCATTCTTTCACTCAAAACCGACGCCTTTCTATTCAAAGTGAAAACTTCAATTCCAAAACAAATGACATCTTTTGTTCACAGCAAATAAAATATACTAATTATGCAATTAGGTGAGATAAATTAACTTGATATTGCACGATCAACATGCAAATGATATTTTAAACTCAGTGTTTCATATTCAATTTGTCCGAGATTTCTCATTAAAATTGAGAAAAGATCTCTCATGTTCATCTCTTTCCCTTTTTTTTTTTGTTGCTGTGTTGTCTTTGTAATGTTGCTGCTGTTCACTATTTGATGTAGTGCCGACTCGGAGTTCGCGGTGAAAATATTAATAGAAGAGAAAAAATAAGTAAATGAAATATGTTGAGCAAAAAGAAACAGTTGTGAAAATTTAAACGGTAGTAAAAGTGTTAGTTGAAACATGAAAACTACATAGAAATGCATATATTTATTGTACTCTTCTTTTATGAATTATACATTTTCACTGACACTTTCGTTTTCATATGCAACTTTTGATTTACGGAGATATAAAACGCAACGGTAACGCTAAAGCTTACATGCATGCAAACGTATGCTACCTTATTTCTATGTCAATTGAAATTTCATGTTATTTCGGTCGATGCAGGTCGCGCATTACCCGCCGTTTTAATAACATAAATTATATGATAAATGCACAAATATTTTGAAAAAAAAAAAAATGAAGCAACGCTGAACGGTACAGTCATCACAATGCGCGTTTATTTGACATCCTACATTTTCCAACACTTTAAAATCGTTGAAAACATCTACTATCTTTGATTACACGCATAAAATAAAAATCAAATAAAATGTGTTTTAAGGTCAATCTCATATCATTTGGCATACATGATGCAAACGTAATTAGTTTCGACGCTCTTCTACAATCATTTACACAATAGTGTCAATCGCAAGTAGTCGATCACATTTATGTCAAAAGCAAAATATCTTTATTATTTTTATACTTCATTTGTCATTTTTTTCCAAGTGTTCGGAAATCAATTAGTAGATAATCCAATTATTGACTCATCTTTAAGTCGCATTACATACATATACGACAAATACAATTTTCATGTCTCAAGAGTTCATTGTAAATAATTTAATTGGACAAATGTAATTCCTTTTTACACGGCCACTGTGTATAGCACGTGTCGTAGCACTGACAATATTCTTTCCCTTTTGGCCATGGAATTACGCGTCATTGTGTACATGAATGTTTTAAAACATTGTAGAAATTTATCATTATTAAAAGGATTATTTCTCACATGCCACAAATGTGGCGTGCACAATTTGCATGACAAATAAACTTCTACGTCTAACAAACGATAATTGCCAATGTCAACCGAAACTGAAATTCATTTTGTTTTTATTTTTATTTTTGTTGTGTAATTGTACAAATGCAACTTGTCACAACAATGGCATATGGTATCAACGCATACAATGCGCAATGGGCAGTAACGCGTCATATTTTGTGAGTTCGTTCAGTTTTGTCCAGTTAACAAATACGAAAACATTTTGTTTATATAGTTAAATTCCTCTTGCATCGAAAATGAATATCCGGCCGAGCGATGCTTTTGTTCCAAATGAACATGCATATTCATAATTGCGTTCGAATGAAAGAAAAGGCACTCAACGTTAAATCCGTTATATACTGTATTGAATACAGTGCTCGGTTGGGTATAAAATTGTGTGTGAGATTACATACATGGAAGTAATTGATCTGAATAAATCGTGCGAAATATTTCTTTGCTTACATATAATCAAAATAAAAACTGAAAAGGTTGTTGATTTAATGATACAATTATTTAATGATTTGCGTTCATTTAATTTTTAGATTATTTTCTGCACGCTTAATTCTCATAAAGTGGATATGACGAAATTGCTAGGCGGCCAAATTGGATTGGATGACTTTATTTTTGCGCATCGCAAAGGTCGACCTAAAGAAATTGAAATTGTCAAATCGGAAGATGCGCTAGGACTAACGATTACAGACAACGGTGCCGGATATGCATTTATTAAACGAATTAAAGAAGGAAGTGTTATCGATGCCATTCCACACATACAGGTATTACGATATCTTTTTTAATGCATTATTTTGTCATAACTAAAAATGGTGCTCATGTTTCATATATTTTTGTTTTTGTCTTTTTCAGCCAGGTGATCACATAGAGAAATTGAATAATATCAATGTGGTAGGAAAAAGACACTATGAAGTGGCACGATTATTAAAAGATATCCCAACACATTCGACTTTTACACTACGACTTATTGAACCAATGAAGAGCGGTTTTCAGGGAATCGGTCCACGAAATGGATCGAAAGGTGGTAGTGGCAAAAAAGGCTATGGATCTGGCAAAGAAACGCTACGATTTAAAGCCAATGGAAATGCGGCGGTCGAAGAACAAGTAAGATAGCAACAAATACTTTCGAAAAGGTCATTGTAAATATTATTTATTTGGATTATCTGCCCTCGATAGCACGATGAAATGACACAAATGGGCATCGACAACATAAATGCACTCTTGGACTCGTTTATGGGCATCAACGATAGCGAACTGGCCGAACAGGTGATTAATTTAAAAAAAAAGAAACAATCTGATTTCACACAACTTTCATTTGTGACTTAAATCATTTCTTTCTCACACTTCTTCTCCAAGTTCATTGATTTATTTGCATTAAATTTTCTTTCTTTCTTTTAGATTTGGGATTTAGCAAATAATAAAACAAATTCAATGGATTTTGCAGAGGCGATTGATAATTCGGATTTGGAAGCATTTGAATTTACCGATGATTTTATCATTGAACTGTGGGGAGCTGTGACTGATGCGAAACGTCATAAAAAGAGTTAAAACGGTGTAATCTTATTGCTTTCATTTTGACTAGACGCTATAATTCATATTATGATTAGATAGCTAATTAACAAAAAGAACAAAATTCATTCCACGATGAATATTCCTCGATTCCACGAATGTGTATCAGAATAATAAACCGATCTTTTGTTTTTAAAAATTCGTCAATTCCTCGTAAATGTCATTCTCGCAAAGAAAAAAAAAACATATCGAGACGATTTTAAGGAGTGTTGGTACAAAATATACGAAGAACTTTCGCATCGGACGAAGAAAAGACGTGACATTTTTTTGTAAACATATTGTTTAGTTAAAGTAAAAAACATGATTCAATGGAATAAAATGCTACGAATAAGAGTCGATCATCATTTTTTGATTAATTATTCACTTACATTTCCAGGTTAGATTTCATTGAGAAATTGAGAATATTTCCGGTAATTGGTAAGGAAACACATGGTTTTTAATTTGTTTTTGTTCTAATATGAATCTTAAATTCATTTCGCCTAGATCAATTTATTAACCTTGTTTTAATACAATCAATTTCCATAATAAGCATATAAAAAAATGATCAAGTTTTCTTATCTTTATTGAATGCACTATGCACATATATGTTTGTAATTTTTTGGGCTCGTTTTCTATGTTGGATGTAGTTTTTATAAACTTGTTGCTTTTTTGGTAAATAAATTGATGCAAAAATAAAATAAAATATCATCACAAAAAAAAAATATTCAAAATTAACGTAGAACTAAGCAGCACTTGTACATATAACGAAAAGTCGAATCGATTGCGGAGACAAAGCCAGGATAAACAAAACCATGTATTTGTGTAATAGATTGCATAGATGATCTCTGGATAAGTGAGCGCCCTCTGGGAACATGAAAAATCTCTTCTCATTCACTTCATTAAGTCGTTGGTTATAGTTTGAAAACTGTAACTCAATCGCACATTCATCAATTGTATGGCATTTATTTCGTTTTGCTATCATTAAATGTTCATCATATCTCCCCTCCTTCCTGAACCGTTTCAACTTGCTCGCTCTTTTTTATATGTAGATTTAAGTTGATGTCTAAAACCGTCTTGGACCACTGTTCATCATTTGTTTTACACCGAATGATGAAACACCAATGCCAAATACAGCCATCAACGCTGCTGATCTAGGTACGGCACGCTCTGATTTACCAGTAAAACTGGACACCTATGGTAGACAAAAAAATTGAAATGATTAATAAATTATCATGACATTATATTATTTTTGTTTATGTTTAACTTTGTTATGCATCTCTGTTACATGGATTATACGATATTTACATTTTGTCTTGAAACGGTTTTGAATGCAACATTTTTGGCTGCTGCGGGAAGCATGTTTTATTTATCGTTTGTGAATTGCAGACGAAAAAAAACCAATTGAATAACACAGACTTGTGATTTTTGATTTTCGTCGATTGAAAAGTTTAATATTTATATTGAAAACGGAGAAAAAGCGTATCGATGCTTAAAAGCATCTATCCGATTCAGTGCACAAAATAAGACTGAGACTGGTATGTGACTTTGACCGAGCTAATGAACGATTTTTTGCATTTATTTAAATGCGAGATACGAGAGCGTGTGTATTCACAATGACGCAGAATTCCGTATTTTCGCCCAACTCCAACGTTTGATTTTATTTGATTTCGCTTCTCACTCACGCCAATCAATCTACATTTTTGTTTTATTTACTGCAATTACGTCTCAAGCTCTTTTTTTGTCGCTGTTTCGCTTATCAAGTGTTTGAAAAAATTGTAACAAATTACGGGTATCCAGGTTATATCAGCATTTGCAATCAATTTATAACAAGTGCAAAGTATCGCAAAAATAGACTATAGTACAACGGGCATACCCAGGTTCGATAACGGTAATAATAATAACAATAATAATAAATTAAGACGTATTGGATGTTCGTTACAACGGGCGCCACGCTTTGACGATCCAAGTCTGAGTAGTTCCGTACAATTGACAATTGATTGAAATTGACGTAAATGATTTATGAATTTGTGACTTAATTTACATTATCAGCAATGCAAATGATCTGAATTGTACAATATATATTTAAAAAAAATGTAAAGCATGTGTATTTTATGATACAGATAAGATGCCATGGCATTGTTTGGCCTACATTTTTTGTCACTCCCGTTTCGATCAAAGAAAATTCATCGCAAAAATATGACGTAGTAATTTAAATTCCAGTCCGGAAATAGCCTCTTCATGCAATTTACAATTATCGTAAATTTTACTCGTGTACGACGCAACAGCAACCACACCGAAACCAAAATAAAATCACATGTGCTAAAATTAGATAAGGCGCCAAGTATTAGCGAGTTGTGTGTACACAAAAATGTTGGGCCCATAACAACACATCAAAACATTCACACACATTGAACGATTTGAAGAACTGAAAGAATTCGCTTACTGTGCGCTCGCCACGCGAACAATTTTTCAAAATCATGTGATATTTTTTCTTTTTAATGTTTGCGTCTGTTTGTGTTTCTAGTATGTGTTTGTTTTTTTTACTTGCTTCAATACATCATCTTAGATAATGTCAAACTAATATACATGTGTTTGTTAATGGCGGACTGAATGGCACCCAGTGAAAGTATACCGTGGTTCTGTGAATTGGTTTTGTCGTCTATTATTAGTTGCATTTGCTGTGCAATGTGATACGCACTGATGATAGATGCCTTTCGATGATTCAATTATAAAGTGAAAATAATCACTGTTCGATACATTCCATAAATGGGATGTGTGTGTGTGCGGCAATCAAAATCGTAGAATGCAATTTATTTCGAGTGAAATAATCACATAATTTATTCGAAAAAATGTGCATCCAATCTGGGCCACACATGGCAAACAAGGTTGAGGTCAAAACAAAATCTACATTTTTGGATTTTAATGCTCCTTAACATTGAGGTCTCAACCATTTTTATTTTTCAGATGCTCTAAACACAAATTAATTGGAGTTAACAATACATTTTTTTTATATTCATCGTGATGATTTTGCAGATAATTTTAAGTACAATCTGAACTTGAAGCAAAACGTTGCCATGATTGATGGTTTCACATTCGTTGATTTTATGACAAATGAATTTACGAAGAAAATACATTGCGATTTATGAAGCGCTCTTATATCGATGACACAAGCAATAATCAAATGATCGGAGTATTATCAAACGATTTCACTGAATTATTGAAAAGCACTTTTGCATGCACTTTTTTCGAATCTCTGTGACGCACTTCAAAGAGCAATCGGCTCTCTCACTTACAATAAAACAGCCTATCTACAGATAAAATATGTTTTGCAAAATGTCAATACTCACCATATTATAGCTAAGCCGATTTACTGCATAGTTAAGCATTTGTGGAGCTCTCATATTGTCTGTGATGCTATTTGATGCAATTACGCGTTTGATTACAGATTGCTGCAATGATACGAAATAGTTAATAAAATATATGGAAAATTGATTAAACATTTTCATGGGCATGAGATTTAAAGCGTTTAAAAAAAAATCGAAGAGATATAATGGAATTTCAATCATTTTTGAAAAACTTTTGATTTTTTTTAATACTTTCTAATTCGATATAATTCGTAAAAGCACAGAATTCCAATACACTTTGATTCTCGCCGGTATATTGAATATATGATAATGTCACAACGCAATAACAATATACAGTGATCAAGACGATTGTTTTTCAGGGAAATTCTCTGTTGTTGATGACTTGATGAATGTAACTAAGAATTTATACTGAAGATTCGATGTGCATGTGCCGAAAACAAAGTGCATTGCGATAAACATCGTATTTTTTTATTTTTGAATTGGAATGCCTTCAAGTAAGATGTACAGCATACATGTTGAGTGACAATTGGTTTTTCAAATAGATTGTTGTTGTTTTTTTTTGAATTTGTCAAAGTTTTTCTTTGCAAACAATGCAAGTGAACCACAATAATGAAAATTTGATTGCATTAGACTTCTTATATAATGTCTTGGCGACAAGGAACTTTGGTATGCAATTTGAGTCACATGGGAACTTTTTTTGACATTTATTTGGTATTTTATTGGATTTCACACAATTCGAGCAGATTATTTATTGAAGAGTTGCACTTGAACTTTTATTTGGAATTGCATTTGAGTGGATATCACTGATAAAAAGTGTGTTTAAAATTAAAAATTTGCTTACTTGGTACTATAAGTAATACAAAACACGTTCACAGCACGATGCTCGCCAGTGAAAAGACTGAGTTCTTATTGAAATTGTCAAATATGCGAATAACAGTGTGATGTACAATTGTCTGTGGAGAAAAATCGATATTCTACACGGAGACTTTTTGCATGTCAGATAAACATCTTACTTTTTTTCTGCTTCTTTAAATTCAAGAAAGATGAAATTATTTGAAATTGAAATCAATTCTTGATCATTTTGTGGAAATTTAAATTTATTCATGAAAGTTCTAGAAACTGGCCGTATGAAAATGTCGTAAATGTCGAAAACATCGCACAAAATCTACGATATATAAATGTCATCTGTCAACGAGCCCAAGACATATACATAATTGCGCAATTGAAATCACATTTGTCACTGATTTGTTATTCGGCTCGCCAAACAAAGATTTCATTTTCCAAAGCAGAAAAAAGGAAGCACATTTTGAAAATGGGACTATCACCAGATGCCAAAGAACGCTTGGGCGTAGTTTTCGGAGTCGTTAAATTTGTATTCCATGTGGGATTCATTCCAACCGTTCTTTATTTAGGTAATTTAAATAAGTTTTCAAAACTGAAACCGAAACTAACCTCAAATTGATGTGTAACCATTTAGGATTCAAGAAAGGCGCTGAACAAGGAATGCCTCCATTGACCCCATTAAGGTAATATACTCGATCAATTTAAACACGACATTTAACTTATTTTTTCATATAAATCATTATTAACTAATTATGTATTTTCGTAATGTTACAGTTTGCTCTGGCAGTAGAGATCCCTAGACTTTGTGCGATTTAGTTATACATACTTCTTAAATCCTAAAAACACAATAGGTTATCGATGAATTATATATCGTGTTAAAATTATGAAATAAACACAAATTCACGATACCAAAAAAATTTTTTATACAATTTCTTTTCATTTATCTGAGTGATATTGGTGTACAGATTTGCATCAATCATTTCCATTTAGTGTGATAATTTCCAAACTATTTGTAATATCATTGATTTCGCCGACATCCAACATTTTCATTACCGATGAGTCTAAATTCAGGAGAGAGTTGTCCGCGAGTAATTCGGATAATGTGGAATTTTGATTCATTCCTTGTGTATTATTTACAGGACATTCAATCGGTTTGTTAGATGAAATATTATTTGTATTATTATAGGTTGAAGGCATATAGTTTTTGTCCGGATTCAATGTGTGCACGGTAGATGTTTGAGTAGGCATCACGGTAAAACGATCCATATAATCGTGCCCATTTGGATAAATATTTCCAAATGGTTGCGGATGCTGGTGTTCGTGGTGTTGTTGGTGTTGTTGTTGTTGTTGGTGGTGGTGGTGGTGTTGATGTTGATGATGTAGCTGCTGTTGTTGATGTTGTTGTGGATACATGGTAGGTAAAGTATTACGACCATGATTGTATGTTGTTTGTAAATTTGATGGCTCACCAAAATATCCATATGAATTTAAATAATTATTACATTGTCCCTCATATAAGTTTGTATTTACAATCGGTTGCTGAAACTGATTCATTTGCACTGATCCTTGATAGATATTTTGCGCTTGTACATGTGTTTGATTGTTCATCGGTATATTAACATGAATATTCTCTTTTTCGTTTTCAACTAAAAATAAAGGTTTGTTATTTTTTCTTTTCTCTGCAAAATAATTCAAATGAACCTTTTAATATTTACCTAAATCAATGAGTGTCTGGGGTATCATACGTTCAACAGCATTGTTTCGGTTCGTGTCCATTAAGGCGTTATCAACTTGGCCACATTTTGTTTTTTCTGGTTTTTTCGTTTTTGTGATAGATTTTAATAACTCCTTCGATAGCTCTTCGCTCATTTTCTTCTGTTTTTTGCGACGCAATTGAATACCTAAACAATGAACACATAAATATTCAAATAAAAAGTTGAAAATATTTTATTCCAACATTATACATACTTTGTGCGACCTGAGTGAATTCAAATGCAATTGGATCACTGCATGCCCCATCCGACGGTCGACATAGTTGAATGAATGTTCTGCGTGTGCCTCCAAAATCAAATCTATCATATCTTGGCGTCTTAAAAGAGATTGCATATTGATGATGTACTTTCATCGTCGTTGAATTTTTGTACTGAATTTCTTCTCGCCAAATCTGATTGCGATCGGCATCTTCTTCATAAAATACAACCGAAATATCTTCACGTTTTACTTTATCGCATAATAAAATGATTTGTTTACCACCGGTGACTGGTGCTTTTTGCGAGCTTATTTCGGTAATTTTCAGTAGGCCATTGCTTTTTTTGTCTAAAATCGGTTTCGAAATGACGTGCCCCAAACTCTTCCAATCATTTCGATTTTCCGAATACGAACCAGTCTTCGAAAGCAACACTTCAAAACATAAACGAACACAATGCAAATCAATCAAGTGCGGCTTCATCATTTGATCCCATCCACCTTTGCAAAATAAAAAAAAAACATTTATAGATTGCGAATTGAGTATTGACATTAAACATTATTTGGTTACCTTTTGTCGGATCAATATTTTGTCGTCGTCGTAGCTCCAATGATTTCTTAATATCTTGCTTCTTCACAAATATAACGCAAAGATCTTTGAATTCGACCACTTTTGATGCTTCGATTTTTACACTTCGCCATATTTCACCGGTATTTGACAATGATTTCGTTGCCAGCTTATGCGGATGTTGTCTGTAAAATTCAATAAATAATTAATTTAATTCAATAATTCGATGGAAAAAAATTCGAATTGATTGTTAAAACATACTTTGGTCGTATTTCGTTTGTAACACAAGATATACATATGGCCACAAAACCAGTGCAATTGCTTATTTCGATTGATGGATAGGTGGTTTTGTCGTGTGTTGAATTCTCACCATGAATTGAACCGCTCCATCGCCCTTCCGATTCATACCGAAATCGAAACGACTTTTCCGCTGGTTCTTCCTTTATTCTCACGTATGATTTGTCCATTATTTAAAAAAAAAAAAAATTGAAACACAAACTATTTTCAATTTATAAAATTAAGAAGGAAAAACACTTTTTCAATCTTGTGATTTCTCTTGCAATTGTTTTTACTCTGTCCAGTGCTCAGTTGCATTCGCTTTAAATGTCAAATATGACTAACGGTAAAGTTGAGATGCATGTTTTAAATATTGAAGATGTCAGTCACCTAATTACCTATCGTCTCATAGTCGGCGCCAAAAACATAATTAATAGCACATCCACATGAAGGCAAACAATAACCATAGATGGAAACAAATAGATATGAAACAATAAAAGATTTTTAGAAATGGACATCTTTTGTATTTTCAATGATAAATCTTAGGCGTACAACAAGTTCAAGTGGTGCAAATAACACTTTTTAAATTTAATCTTCTTAATGAATACCGGACATAAAAAGTAAACATAAAATTCTATCCAATTTTCCACGAATGTTTTAATATCTACGAAATTGTTTTCGAAATTTGTCATAGTGATAGTCATCGGTGGCACGTTTTACATTTGGTTTTTTACTTGCTTCGCCTTGCCGTTCTCGTTCTTCTTGCATTTTCTGTCTACGACGTTTAGTCTCCGAATCATCGATATTAACTGCAAAATAAAGACATTTAACATTTTAATCATACCCGAATTGGTTTGGGGACTTTGTTTTAAAGAGTGTTCAATTAGAGAAACTTACATCGGTTGTGTTGTACGAAATTGACGGCCATATTACTGGGTACAAATTGTGACGGCGTTGACTGGAAAATAAATGCAAAACGTTGAGTTACACAAGATGTATCATAAATTTGAATGTCAATGTTTACCTTTTTATTTTTCTGATCTCTAATCAATTTTTCTTTTGCTGCTTCGGTTGCTTCAATATTTTTAATTTTTATGTCAATGCCAAGATCTACCTCAGGTATTCCGTTTAACATTTGATTTGACAACATTTCTTCGGAACGATGAGTCGAGCTAACTCGAAGATGTTCAGGTAACGATAAGAGGGCAGCCTCTTCAGGCGACAAATATTTTTCATCAAAATTCTCATTATCATTATCGCCACCGGCGCCATTCGGGATTTTCGAATTTTTTCGCTTATTAAGCTGTTCTTCAATGTATCTATAAAAAAAAAAGGTTTATAACCAAAATCGGTTAATACAATGTGCATTTAGAAAAAAAAAGGATGAATAAAATATAATCCATAGTAATTAGTAACAAGGTTACTTCATCATCTCTTCGTCTTCATCACGTTTATTGGTTTCGGCTGAAAATTGTGTACCAATTCCAACATCATATGCATCATCGACTTGTTGCATCTTTCCAGACTTTATGTTTTTCATGTTGAGTATGCCGCCACTTTTTATTTTAAATGGATCATTCTGAGAATAAATGAAAACAATGTAAATGACCGACAAAATTTGATTGTGTGAGATAATTACTCTCGACATCTCATTCCATACCTTTAACACCAAATCCTCTGGAGTCACTTTTTTACCAATGGCCAAAGCAACAGCGTTCACTCCTTTTGGTTTAATTCGAAGTTTTTGTGCCAATTTTGTTTCTTCTAATTTGGCTCTATAAAATTAAGTTGAAACCATTAATCGCTTTAGTTTGTATTTTTTTTTCGAGATAAATATCCATTTAACTTACAAAACATCTTCATCGTCTTTGTGTTCCTCATCTTCGTCTGATGAATTTCGTCTAACACGAAGATTTTTCACCTTTTTTGGTTTGAATTTTATTTCTTCAGACATTTTTCCTATCGACAGATTATACCTTTCTTTAAAAAAAAACTATTAAATTTAGCTAGAAAAAACCTTCTTGGTAATAACAATTTGTCTATAATTTCAATGAAAACATCGCCAATGTCAATTGTGACCTAAATGTTTTCGTTATGGTGTGGCCAGATGTATAGTTGGTTTTTAGTACAATAAATAAAGTTAAATGATTATGAAATATATACAATAGATGGCGGTACATGGTTTGAAGAGACACACATATATTAAATTTATAACTCCGATCCGCTTCCCGATTGATTGTAACCGTTGATATACAAATCCTGCTGTTTATAAATTAATTTGTGACTCTGCAATAATGAAATTGTTCTTGTTTTTTTTTTATTAACAATGGAACCATTCTAAATTGATAGAGATCGGTGCATTTCATCATGATTTTTTATCTTCTTGGAGCTTAATTGCTTTTTTATAATGACTATTTATTTTTTTTATATCTCTACAGGAAATGATGAATTAGTTAATAAAACCGAAAAATTCTTTTTTTTTCCACGCGATAGAATGTTTGATAAATTTCTGGAGTTTTAATTATTTCTCACATGAGTTAACTTAAAAATATTGCTACAAAGCATCTGTGATAAAAACAAATATTTGGCCATTTGAAGCGTCGTCAGATGTTATAAGTGATTAAATTATTATTTGACTTTATATTCTAATCTAAAATTATTGCTTTTCTAACCAAAAGATATACACGGATGAGTAGTAATAGTAATGATTGAGTGAGTAGTAATATTTTTGAAACCATTTCAAATTATATTTCAACCGAATCATATTAAAACTTGAATACGAGAATATTATTATTGTATCAGCAAAAAAATATCATTACTCAACTTCATTCATCATTTAACAATTCATAATACAATAAAACAATAACAAAAAATAAATCAAAAGTAAATCATTGTAAATAAAATGGATCTTCATCATCTTTAAAATGAGCGTGTCAGTTTAATCTGCTTTATAATTAATAATTTATCAATACATTGATTCAAGAAATGGAAGAAACAATGTATTAAAATTGGTTCACATAATATGGATTCAGATTTGAATGACATTTTGGGTATTGGTAAATGTCGTTTATTTTCGTTGGGTGAAGAAATTTTTTTTTATGCATATTTAACCGAATCAAAACATAAAATGTGTATAATGTCAAAGTCCAATCGAAAACCAATTTTAATTGTAAATTTTACAGTTTCACGAGACTCATCGACTTGACGATTGGTGTGAAAAATTGGGTGACCGAAAGAACTAATCACTTTTTTTTTTCTCAATCTCTATCAATTTCGCATATTTAAAATATTTGTGATTAAAATCATCGTCATTTTGATTGGTATTTAAACGAATGCTAATATGAAAGTCAATGGAACAAGGAAATTTTTTGTTTACATAAATTTCGACCCAGGAAATAAACTGCGTATACGAATCAATCTAGATCTTTCATGACGGTGTGGTAGCGACCACTAAAAGCGTTTAGTGCATTTTTATAAAAATGATTTGAATAAATGTGATGGTGGTGATGTTGGTTGTTGTCAGCTTCAAGGTCGCATTAATGTTCATTCACCGATAAAACTTGCGAACGTTTGACGACAGACAAAACGTCATCATGGTTGCGAGATTGATATAGCCCCAAAAGCATTGATTTTTATATTTTCAAATCTATCGGCTTTGTTTCAATGGTTTACATCGTATTGGCGCCGTTTCAAATCGTTCGCCTTCATACCAAGAAAAACAAACTGACAAACAAAAAAAATGCTTGATCGATTTTAAAATTCATGGTCGATTTAGTTGGTGCTGACTCGGAAAAACATCTCTTCAAAAACAAAACAAACAAATTGTAAATCGATTACGTATTGGCGATTTTATATTGACAAGAATAACTTTAACATCGACACTCTCCACCGATTGAAGATATATGTAAAAATTGGCGCGTGCACCCATAAAAATTGATAAAATGCGGAAACATAAATTGAATTAAGACTTTCATTTAATTGGAACGTTGTGTAAATTTCGATTGAAGAAATGATTGTGATAAGAAATCGAATCAGTCGGACGCTGGCCATCGAGCATTGTATCATATTTCCGGAGCAAGTACAATGTAAAACAAGCAAAATGTCAAAGGAAAAATCAAAAAAATGGACACGTAATTTACAACGGGGATTTTAATTTTTTCTTTTCTTCACATCATATCAAAATATCAGGCGATTCACATTTAGGGTAATATTTTGAATTGGATTCAAGAATTCGATTGTAACGAAAGTGATCACCATTTAAATTAAATCAAATATAGCATACACATTTCAAACGGTTTGACGGTTTTAAATGTTATGTTCATCATACACCCTAGATGCACCTGTCCGATGTTATTCAATCACACTGGAATCGCGTTCAAATGCATATATGCATGTGACAACAGAGATTGGGCTCCAAGCCATTAAATTACATCAATAAATACTGTAAACGGTGTGTTTTGCATTTTGTGTACATGATGTTGAATGATTGGTGTATATAAATTCCACGGCAACCATATGATTCATGTGATTTGGTTCTAATTTGTTAGATTTGCAATAAAAGAAGTGAAAAAAAGAAAGAAAGAAGAGAAAAAGTGCAACATAACACGATGCATGTATGCAGTTTACTCATTTTTATCGGACAGTGTTATCAAACGAGCGGAATTAAGTACTGTTATTCGTCACTATTATTAATGACGATGAGAAGTGATAAGTAGATTTGGTGTGCGTGTGAATACTATGCGGTGATGTAATAATTTGTAAGCAAATTTAAATGGCTGGACAAAGATTAAAACGTGACTCATTTGGGCTGGTAATTGTATGGCTATTATTCGAATGTCCGTTGTTTTTGGTTGTAAACACAAAAATCAAAAACGAAAAAATCAATACAATTATATGGGACGGTTTGGTGTTTCAGTCATCAAATGGACAATAATGGTCGATCGATTCGAATAGCCAACAGACAATGTGAAAGAAAAAACAATCAAATTGCATCGAATTTTCCGTAGTGGAAGCAATTTAAATTCATTATTTAATGCTTGCAATCGAAGCAAATTACAAGTACTTGGGCACATACAATCGGAGACGTCACAGCCAATGAAAGTCATCGAAAAATAAATACCGAATCGATAGCAAATGGCTCAATTTGACATCAAAGAAAAGGCGCCTTGATTTCGCTGAAAGTGAAGTGAACACATACAAAATCACACAGTTTTTTTTAACTCTTCAGAGCTTGGCGTATTGTTTACATTTATTAAATATGTGCAGGTTGGTTGACGAAATACGAAAACATACATATATGTATCGCTCTGATTCTTTGCATAATTTTGCGACACCGCACTACAACACACAACAAAATTCATACACCTCACCCTTTCCATTCACTCCGATGGATCATTCGAAAGCAAAACAAAAACAACATTATAAACAAAATCGACAATAAAAATGTTTTAAAATGGTTTTTATTTGTTGGAATCGGGCCGTTATTAAGCGGCCGGTTAATCACTAGACACACACAAACACACACACACGCAGGCAATGTTGATTTGCAACGTTTTATCTCATATATTTGGAAGCATAAATCTCTGTGTGCACCAAGTTATCTAATCAAACTAATTTAAAACATTGCACAAATTTAAATATGAGCCTGTGTTCATGTCGCGCTCACAGAAACTAGAAAAATTGGGTTATCATTCTTACAACGATTATATGATTATGTCATCTGAATAAAAAGCGTTTCACTCATGGACCGACGAAAAGACGTGCGTTGAAATGGGCGTATTTTACGGTCTTTAGGCTCCAATTGCTATTTCGACAATTTCAGTTTTCTTTCAAAATGGAATGCAAACGATCATATTTGACAATAGGATGTCCAATATTGATGGCGGTAGCCAAAATATTTCCAGAAACTCTGGCCCAGAGTGAACGGTATTGTATCGAATAACCTTGACATCGCTTTTTTTTTCTCTTTCTCTCTCTCTCGTTTGATGCACGACAATATTAGCGGTCAAAATGATATATGCACAATGTCTGTTTTCAAATTCTTCGGTTAATAAAATACGAAAAAAAAAATCGAAGGAAATATAATTTCAGATATATACATAAATTATCTATGTTCGACACCGGCTATCATTTGGCATGCTAAAAACAACGATTCGATTAATGAAATTCAATGAACAACATATGCACGCAATGATACGAATACGTAAAAACATAGACACAAAATTAAAGTCATAATTAACTAAAAGACATGAATGTCAAATAATTGTCTTAAGATTCTAACGAATACGTGGGCAAGCCAAGTTGTTGGCTTTACTAAAAAAAAAAATCTCAAACACGAATGCACGTTGACAACTCTATAATTATAACGGTAATTAAGAATGAAATTGTCATTAGAATGCGTCAAATTGTGTGCAAACGAATTGTGCGAAAAATCTTTCAATTAAAAATGACAAATTGAACGAATTATTGATGTAAGCATCAATTTAATTTCATTGCTGAAATGCCAACAAGAGAGACGATGACGAAAACACTCGCGACACACACACACACACAATCTTGGCGACAATCTAATGAATATATAAAAGATTGACTGTAATTATGATGTGTATGCATATAGAATAAAGAAGAATGAAGACTTTAATTAAACTGCGTAAATACAAAACATATTCGCGCAAGTACAAAAAAAAAAAAATTCCAAGACATTTTATGCATGCGTTCCTCGTCTGAGTCTTTTGTGTTTATGTATTGCAATGTGGTGCTGCAATAAATCGCGTCGTCTGATGCACGCTAAATGCGTCATCAGATTTACGTCGTTTTAACGGTCGCTTACCAATACATATTAATATGGTCTGAATGGCATTGTGTTAAGTATCTCCACCGTCATAATGCATATGATCAAATCATAATACAGATTATTGTTTTTTTTTACAAAAATAAGATACAATTTTCGATTGAATTAATGTCAATTTTAAGTACGTTGATTAAAATGCTCGATATTTCTTATTCTATATCATGATGTCTATTCACACACATTATTTCAATAAAATGTGTGTTTAATAAATTGGGGTTCGCCCATGCACAGCGGCATATAGATGTTGAATTTTTTTACTGTAATTTTCATGAGTGAGCCGTAAACATTGTGTACAGTATAGACACCATTCAACTTTCACTGTAAATTCAAAAAACAAAAATGTTTTTTTTTTTTTGCAGTTTCATTTCTTCACTGCTTGTACGTAGTAAGTTCCATTTGAATACACGTTGACGAGATAATAAGTGCAAAATGCAGTATCTCAATGTAGATATGATTTGTGCATAAAACAGCGCCATAACGAATGCAAAAAGAGAAGAAAAAAGAGAAAGAGATTGCGGACGACCAAACGAACGGACGGACGAACGGATCGATAACCATGTACAAATTAGATAGCGGAAAATGTGCGAACTGTGAAATGGTTGTGTTGTCGTTGTTGCTCTAAACCGTATATTTTCAAAATAATATGAAAAAAATATTGTCGATGTGTGTATGTACACCGTATGTATGTTAAGCTTAAGATTAAATTGTGCCGGTTTCAATGGATTCGAAATGGTACGAATGCCGATAGGCCAAAAACAAGATTGGTGACATCGCAAATCGATCGTGTGTTGTTCGTTTTCTGTCCACAAAAATTATATCGATCTAAAAATAGGCTACTCATTTAGATAATCAGAATCAAAATCCAAAAATAAATGCGATATTCACTCATTGTGATTGAATGCTTCATCGAAATGAAATACGCATGAATAAACGGCATGAACACATCAATTTTGCAAAAGTTGAATTAAGCGTTGTGGAAATGGCGGAAGGCATTTCGCTATATGTCAAATGTTTTTATTATTATATTAATAGATCAAACAAGCTATATTTATCATCGTTAAATTCAATCCAAAGGCACAGCAAATGCCATTCTTTTAATTGATTAACGCCTTGTATATTATTTTATGGTGGCAAACACATGGCTGTTTTTCCAATGACCGATCCATTAGATTTGACATTGTTAACCATCTCGAAAATTCTGTATCTGAATAATTTCTTATCAAATGGTCACATTTGCTGATAATTTATGCAATCTTAAAGCAGACACCAAAACCAAAAACCATTCACAAAAAATTAATGAAATCAATCGAAATGCAAAATCTCTTTTTTTTACTACTAATAAGCCACATATAAACGACGATCAACTCAAAACGAATAGCGAAAAAAAAATGAATAAACAATGTCAATGAAATTAGCTTAAATCCATTTTTAAAAAAATGAGCATATTGAACGCAGCACGCTCAATGGTAATGTATTCGAATCACGGATCACGTATGATTACCACAAGACATCAAACTACACATTAGGCGAATGCAATCTTTGATCGATAAATAAAACGGTACACGATGAAACAGTAAGCACTACGTGTGTGTGTGCGCGCATTTAATGAACGATTCAATGCATGTGCGTACAAAATTTAAACTTAAAATTAAACGTACGAAAAACATATGTGTAAACATAAACCTTCATATTTATATTTTGAATGAATGAAGCGTCTTCATATGATTGGCTCATGTTCTAATTTAAATGCTTTTTTTAAGCTTAAGCCATTTTTTATCCATATCAAGTGCGCCAAATTCAAATAACAATCTTTGACATCGCCGAGGCGACGATTGAAATAGTATGATCACGTTGCACGTTGACATTGTTTTTAACTAAAATTTTATTTCAATTTGATTGATGCATAATTTTGCAAATCGTTAGAATGCATACTGAATTTTGACGGTGCGCGCTTTTCTCTCTATTTCGTTAATTTATTTTGCCAATGGCAAATTATTGACAAACACTTAAAGTAGAAGATGAAGAAAAAAGTGAACGATTGTTAATTGAGCCGATTTCAATTGAACGATATCGGCAATAATGAAACAATACCACCAATTGAGTGGCAATGGTCACTCGGCTCACGGAAGAGATCAATTTCTGGTTATACGGCCAAGTGCATAATCTTAAATCGACATATGGAGAAGAAGAGATTATTGCCAATATTATTGGTGGGGCCAATGGACTTATGTAGAGTGAATTTGACACATACAGAATATTCAAATGCATAAAATGGTAACCAAATGATGTAAGTGGCGCTTGGATTTTAATACAGATTTTCTCATAAATTTCTCTTCATATAGCTATCTTTATTAATGTAATGTCACATTCTTTTTAACTAGACAATGATGTGGTTGATATTGTGCAGATGATATGTGTTAGCTGGTAACTTGCACGCCGCGTCATCCAGTTCACAAACAAACGCAGACGGCATATTATCATAAATGATTGTGTATACACAACTATTACATTGGAATTATGTGAAATTTTACCAAACATATTATCTACCGCTTCTTGTATGCTCATTCGAATCCAACAATATGAACTGCGTTATAACGATGATATGTAGGGAATTGTATTGTAGAGTGCATACCACCTCGTAGATGTATTAAAAAAATTTCCTTCTGTTTGTTTGGTTTTCTTTATTTTCTTGCTGGTATGCCTTTCTCCTTCCATGAGTGTATTTAAACCGAAACAGATCACTTCGGAATCCGAAGTTCGGATACGGCACTTGCTGTAGCTTAATGCGCAAAGCGCCATTGTATTGCTCATCGGTTCGATGGATGATCATTGTGTACATTCGAACCGATCAACAGAGAGAGAGAGAGAGAACACGCACACATACGAGCTTTCATTAACACTAACCAGCGTCTGGAGTCAAATCAGCTTACTTTCTATATTTGTTAAATCTAGTAGGTTCGATTGGTTCATAGCAGTTGATGTTGTAATAAATTTCGAGTATTTGAAATGGTAAGAATTTTAATCATGGAGTATACACGCATCACAAAATCCAATAGCTTTTTATATATTTTGTAAAAAAAAAAATGATGTGGTTTTTAATTGTTGAGCAGTGATATTTTTCAGATTTGGTCAAATCCAATTTGATTGGATAATCTTTTTTTTGGTCGCCGTCTGAAATGTTTAAATTTAATATCTATTTTTTTTGCCTGATCATAAATTAAATTTCATGATGCTTCAAAATAATAACAAAAAAAATGACTTCATTTAAGAGTGATATGGCGATTTTAATTTATTGCAGCAGCGACAATCAAGCGAGTGTTAATCGTTCCAAAGTTTTGTGCATGTTCAGCATGTATTTAAACGCAAACTTAAATTGTATTTGATGAAAAGAAATGACGGCAATAAGCAAACGTTGTATGATGTGCGCCTTCGCTATGAAACGAAAATACATATAAATATTGTCATAGCAGCAACATCAGCAGCTGTAGCGATCAAATGTTCATCATCGGTCTGGGCCTAAGTGTCTGGGCTTTATGTGTTGGTGTATGGTGAATCGAGTGAGCGTGCGTAAGCTGGTGTGATGGAGCGATTTTTTCCGAATTGTGTGTTGTCTGGAATTGTGAATGTATTATGGTCTCTTTTTCGAACACTTTTACATAAAATACACAGAGGTGTACCTGTTATTGCCGCAGCCGTATTTGTTGTTGGTTTCCATTGTCGCGTACGGTTTGTAGTATATATCGTTGTTTATAAAAATTTCTGTGTTTAGTCCTTGCAAGGTTGTAACGTTAATCGCACGCAAGACATTATCACATAGCACAGCGCTCGTTCACAAACTCATTCATTTTCATTGAACATTTGGTTGAAATACAAGAGCAAATCGAAACCGTTTTACCATATAATCGGTGTGCAAAATTAAACCGATTTCGATAACAAATAAAAAAAAATTTATATATAACTTTATCAACGACTCTTAATTTATTCAGTGAATCATCACGCTAAAAATTTTAAAACTAAAGAAAACATCATGTTTCCGCGGATTTCGTAACAGTTGAACGGCGAATGTGTTACTGATAACAGCAAACTATTCTGTCATAAAAAACAGCACAAAATATTTAAGAAAAATTGATCATTAGAAAAATAAGACGTACGATTTTTTTCGCTCCGCGTATAAAAACTTAAAAAACAGTTGATAATTTAAAAAGTTAACGTAAAAGTGAAATCTATTGCCGCGACCATTCAAACAAGCAGCATTGTTTTCAACAATATTTGTTATGTTCAATACATTGAAATAAAAAGGTGTGATCACTTTTTCCACATATTATTTTTTTTCATCAATAGTTAATTTTCTTGAAAAGTGTTTTGACTAATGTATTAACGGTTTTAGTTCTAAATTTTTGTGTATTATTAAGTTTGAAAAATGTTATGAATTAACAATGGATGTGATTGTTGTCGTTGTCATCGTTTCGTTGTTTCATCGTTTTCCGGTTGAAAAGTTGATCTTCTTGACTTTCCGTGGCTTCGTGGCCACAGTAGATATATATAAATTTTTTCCTCTGTCTACTTTACAAGAAACTAACCGTAAAACATTCATTATTACAACATTGCTTCAATTGGAATGTTGATGAAAAAGAAATTAGACCTTTTTGCTTGGCCTTTTAGTCGCTTACATTCATTTCCTTCGAAACTAAGTTGAAGAAAGAAATTTCTTTCGTTCGTAATATTCATTGCGGGTCGGTCCTCATTTCAGAATATGAATTCAAATTGAAAAGAGTGTGAAATGTTTGCACAATCATCGCGCATATATTTTATTTTCAATAAAACTGCATATGATTGGATTAAAGTTTTTTTTTCTCGAATGTATGGGTGTACGACGTTCAGTTTTAATTGTCTGGCGTTTTTTTTGTTGTTGTTGTACTATATATTATATTATTTTATTTCATTTTTTTTTTCTGTTTCATTTTCAATTTTCGTCCAAAAGAAGTTGTGCACGGCCGATTCAAATGAAAAAGAAAGGTATATAAACATAAATATATATACACGATATGAACGATGCTCGTAAAGAGCTGCGTTCGTTTTATACGCTTTTTTTGTATATTCAAATATGTGCTTTCCGCAGATTGCACACAAGTATTCAATGCAGCAAATGCCAACATAATTTCACGTGAAAAAATAAATATAATACACACGGGCAAATAAATGAAATAAAAGCACCCGAAAAAGTTACGACCAATCGTTAACAGCATTGCGAACAACACCGTGTTAACAATCATGTGGCCAGCTTCGATCATATGTTTGTTTGCGCGGTTTTTTTTCTTTCTTACTCTGTCTCACTTGGTCACTCTCTTTCTATCTCTGTCTCTGTTTCTGTCTCTTTTAAATTTTCGAATATGTATGCATTGTTAAATTCGTCATGTTTCAATACAATTTGGCTTTGAACTCATTGCATCTCTTTCTGCTGCTTCTTTGAAATGTGTTTTTTTTTCTGTTTTCTTTCGAATTCGATATCGTGCAACTTTCAGCCGATTTCACATGTTGAACGCGTAATCAACAAGCAACATCGCACTGAACAAAAAAATATGATATGTATATCGGTTGAATTGCATTCACAACGAAAACTCGGTAATTTTTAAGCTGCAAAAAATACAAATCATCAAATTAAATTTAAAAATTAATCCAGGGAAAAATGAGCTCGTGGCACAGGCTGAAAAAATAACAGAAGAAAGTCAATTCTTTTTTTTTTCTGATCGTCGACTCACTATTCCGAGCATTAGAATGAAAGAAAACATATCATAATATAAAGTGCTGTTCGCATAACTGTGATTGCCCCTGACAATATTTTTTTTTGAAATTCGTATATGCCTGATCAGCCGGTTATTATTGTTGCAGGGAAATGATTAGATCTTTAAGAACATAATCCTTAACCTTTGGCTTCATCTCGTGTGTATTTCACACATTCCGACATGCACGCACGTCAATCACTATAATCAGTAACAACAACAATTTCAAAGTAGTACCAATATCTCACGCATAAATATCTACAATTCAACACTCAATATACATAGACATGAGGTAATTTGAAACACGTACATATATTGAAAGAAAATAGTTACTAGTACGCATCGCACATAAATTTCATGTATTAATATGAATTATTGATGAACAACAAACGAAAAAAAAATCAAATTGATAAACACAATCACTACCGAACGGAATCTATTTCTTCGAGCAATTTAATTTTTAACAAAAAAGGAAATGATAGCTTCAATAAAACTGAACAACATAATTTCGGTGTTATTCATAATTGAATCATGACAAATAAAAACATTGCACAAATCGCTTTAATTGAATTATTATTTGCCATAAACACAGCAAAATTTTTAAACAAAACACTAACAATCACAATTATAATAACAAAGTGAACAATATTCACAAGCAAATGGGGAACAATTTATACATGCACACATGCATGTATCAAGCCATAAAATGATCTTGAGTCAAAGATACGGCTAATCGATAGAGCTCTCCAACATGAAATACAGAAGCAATTTTTTTTATTGAAGTGTTAATGGCCGTCATTAACAAAATGTTTGTAATAGCCCTGTTATTCCATTTTACCATACGCCACAAATTCGTGTTTGGTTCCTTTTTGTTGCTTTTTAATTTTACGATGCAATTTTTGGTGAGAGTTTTTTTTATTTTGCCATGTAACAGCCATGAAATGCATTCATTTTTTGTTACTTTTAAAAAAAAAAAGCTTGTATCCATGAGCTAATCTGTGTCGATTTTCACTGACTATTTAAAGCAACATGTGTATGAACCATTTTTCATAACTAAATCTATTAATAAAAATTAATGCTGGCGAATTGGCGTTATCAATATGTTGATGTGGTTGTTGTTTGAGTGGTGGTTGTTAAATGATGTACATTATCGTAAATCAAATAGCATGTTGAGCCCATATTTTTGATCAATACATTTGGGAAATACCATTAATTGTTTTATAAATAGATTTTTTTTGTTCGGAGAGGTGGGCTCGATCGCTACACGTTACGAAAATTCAACATAATTCGACTAAACGATGATTGTGTCTACTCATTACGTTACTTTCATTTCGTTCGATTGTGTTTCTTTTAAAGTTTTTATTTTTAAAGCGGAAATACAAGTAAGTCCGGCTAAATTTGGCATTTAGCTAATCATCGTCCGACATCGATGCATAAATTCATCAGCGTGGGAATGAACTCAAAGTTCACAATGTGATCATATGTAGGAAAAATAAGATTACTATTTATCAAAATCAATCGTTGTGATCAACAGGCCAAGCCTTTGTACCCAAAAAAAGCAAAACAAAATCAAGAAAAACAGACACACATACACCATAAATGAACATGTAAGTGAAACTATGCGCGATGCATTCCAATCACACAATGACTAATAAAAGGTACGACGAAGAGAATAATGCCGTTAAGCACGTGTAAAAAATATTCAAAAGTCCATCGGGAGATTAAAAAAAAGAACCGTTATGAAACGAAAAAAAAAACCAACAAATGTGCTAAGTTTTCCCTTTTCGTTGTTTGGTTGTTTTTTTCTGTAAGTCGTGTGTATATATTATTTTTATTGAATAAATCACTTAAACGACTGCGATCACTGTTATCGGAATATTTTATCGTAAACAGAGAGTGTATGTAGGTGTGTGTGTGTGTTTGTGTCAACCAAAGCCACACAGTACAAAGTACTTTATTTATGCTATTTACCTGGCTTCTATCGGGAAAATTTAACAGAAATAATGTTCGCATGTGGAGAGCACAGCTGCAATAAGCGTCAATACCATAGAAAAAAACCACTGAGAGATCGCAATGAGATCTTGGTTAACATGGGATATATTTCTTGTGTAGTCTTGTTGTATTTTGCGTTTTAAATCTCAGTTTAACATTTGTAATTTAGAAAGAAAGCCTCTAATATGTTGCACATAAAAATCACAAGAAGAAAGAAAAGAAAAAAGAAGCGAAAAAGCAGAAAGAAACCATCAAATGGTAACAACAGCATTTGTGTGTGATGCAATACAATTGCCGCATTGTATTAGATAATCATCATTATTGATGTATTCGATTGACATTAGATTATGGTTGTTTTTTTGTGTAATTTCGATCACAAGAAAATATTAATAATAATCTTATCACATGCATGCATATGTATGTCGCAGCACACTTACTATTTTTTTTTATCGAACGCTTGACAAATCTCAGAGCCGATCCATTTTTTGGCTTACAGAGAAAAATCAAATCTGTGACAATATTAATATTAAAATTCATATTATTTAAATCGATCTATGGTAATAATGTATGTATTTATGCTTGAGTTTCATCTCGTCGTCGCAATTTGCAGGCAGTTTATTTTTAAACATGCAATTTCGAGTCGGCATTTTATAATGTTGTATGTTTTTTTTTGCTATGTTGCGTTCAGGTTATTAATTTCGGAAAATTTTCTTGATCCCACCAATTGCGGCATATTTTCACAAATAATTTGGTCGCTGTTGAATAAATGGGAACGTTAAGCATGGTAAGCAAATGGCAAAGTGATTAACATACTTTAATTCACTTTCTAAGAAATGTGTTATTGGCCTGTTTGCACCAACGCGTTAGAGGTGTTTGTGTGTGTGTGTGATGTTTTTTATGATTGACAAGATACATCAAAAAATGGTGTAAGGGCCCGTTTTCATTGTTAAATATCGTTTTTTACACAATATGATCGAATCGAGAGAATCAAATGGCGAATGGAATATTTTCAACGATGAACATTGCTTCGGACGATGTCGATCCAAGGGGTAAATTGAGTCGTTGGTTGTTCATTCCTGGGAGTTAGGTGATTTTCTCTCGTCAAAAACCCTAAAATATTTCTCTTGTCAAACATAGCAGTGGTAGGTGAGCAAATTTTGCTCGAAAACTACTCGATGAACTAATTTAAACGAATTTGTTGACTTTTACTTCTTTTTGTGCATTTTTCAATTTTAAATTGAATTGCAATCGCAAATGGACACTTTTGCATAAACACGCTATGTACAATTCCCCTGCCACTTAATCTACTGCTGTGTATGTGGTGGCGTGCGTACATTAACAGTTTTGTGTATATTATACATAATGTTTATTTTTACTTCGATTGCTTTTCACTTTGATTTTTGTCTTTACTTTTCTCTTATGTTGTTTGCAGCCTCTGAACTTCTGGCGATAATCTCACTGGTTAGTTCTCAGCTTGGCGAGGCCACAATATACAACACAAATTCCAATGTCCATACACATATAACT